TTCCATTTCAAAAATATTACTTTATTACATCACTAGGTTACAATCCGTGGAAACCACGGGTAAAAGATTTATAAAAATTTATTAAACTAATAATATATAAGTTTTATTTAGACAAAATTTAAATTAAAACCTCATTAGTTTCTTTTATTTATTTATCTAAATTATCTGTTTGAATTTAAAAAAAAATCACTTTAATCTTAATAACTCAATATTTTTAAAAATTTTCTTACAGTTGCTCACAACAAGTTTACATATTTCAAAAAGCAACCTCAAATATATCACTGTTTATACTATATTAAACATTTATTCTATATGGCTCACAAGAAAGTTTATTTATTTTATTGGACAAATCATTCTTTTTATAAAGAACCCGGTCTATCTTTCTTTTTTTTAAAAAAAAAAAAAAAAACTTATCATTATTCCTGGAATAAAATATTATATTATAAACTCATAATCATCAACCTAATCAAATTTTTTTTAAAAAAAAAGCAATATATACATTACTTATAAAGCTAATGATTTAAAACTCTAACAACAAACATATCGAAGAATGAAGATATTCTACATTACTATTCTAAAGAACAAACAAAAAAACTCTACTGAACACAATTAAAATCTGTAGCAAAATTGGATTTGAGTAAAACAGTAAAAGTGAATCCCATGTAACTATAACAGTCGGCAGTGAAATTTTTTGACAATAATAAGTTGGGGATTTTCTGGGATTTATCATTTTTCTTAAAGGAATTGAATCCTACGTTAAAAAACAAGTTGAATCAAGAGAAAATCAAGAAAGTTTTGAGAAAGTCAATATCATTTACTCTCTCTCTCTCTCTATCCCTCATATTTATTACTTGAAAGTCTCTTGTTTTTTCTGCTCTATTTAGATTTCAAAAATCTTCCCAATTCACTACAAACGTCACAGAAAGAAAACATTCCTCACAAAACACAACCCCCACCTCAAGAACAGAGGAATTATTCGCTGTTTCATATTCGAATTTACAGATTCAAGCTTTTTTGGATTAATAATGGAGGAAATGAAATGGGTGTTTGGAAATTGGGAATTAATTTGCATATCGATTGTTCTTGGATGGTTATTTTACAAGTATTTGATTGTCCGAAAATGGGGTTTGGGAGATAACCAAGAGGAGGAGCGCCGCCGGAGCTGCCTGCAACCACCGTGAGGCAGCTCAGGTTGGCCGTTGATCGGAGAAACAATAGAATTCATTGCATCTGGATTCACTTCTCGTCTTGTCAGTTTCATGGAGAAACGGAAGTCTGTGTAAGTGAGCTATTATCTTCTTTCTTTGAGAAATTGGTATTTAATAATAATAATAATAATAATAATAATAATAGTAATAGTAATAGTAATAGTAATAGTAATAGTAATAATAATAATAATAATAATAATAATAATAATAATAATATTAATAGTAATAGTAATACTAACAGTAGTAATAATAATAATAATAATAATAATAATAATAGTAATAGTAATAGTAATAGTAATAATAACAATACTAATACTAATAGTAATAGTTATAGTAATAATAATAGTAATAGTAGTAATAGTAGTAATAGTAATAGTAATAGTAATAATTAGGGGTGTGCACGGTGCGGTTTCGAGTCAAAACCGCAAACCGCACCGCATATGCGGTTTGAATATTTTAGAAACCGCAAACCGCACCACAGATGTTCAAAACCGCATGATGCGGTGCGGTTTGATGCGGACGGTTTATGCGGTTTAGTTGCGGTTTGTGCGGTTTGATGAGTTGTTAAACATTAAATCTATCAAAAAACCAAAAACCTAGCCGGGTTAAAAAAAAATGATTGCTTTCATTTTATAAAAACAAATACAATTTTCGAGTTAAATCGTTTTTAATAAATTGTGACTCATGCTACTATAGTTTTGTAAGTATCATTGTTATTGCTTTATATTGCCGTTATAATTGATATATTCTTGTAAACCATGAGATCTTGATCTAATAGTGATTTAATGTTACGTTATAGATATTTGGTTATTGTAAGAAATATATTTACATACATCATTTCTAAATCGTGATTTGAAGTTATAACAAAATAAAGAAAAAAAGTATATATATAACATGCGGTGCGGTGCGGTTTGAACCGCAGTTTTATAAATACAAACCGCAAACCACACCGCATAGTGCGGTTTGATAAAATGATGAACTGCAAACCGCACCGAGAAATTGTAAACCGCATTATGCGGTGCGGGCGGTTTGTGCGGTTTTTTGCACAGCCCTAGTAATAATAATAATAATAATAATAATAATAATAATAATAATAATAATAGTAATGATAATGATAATGATAAACATAGAATTTCATCAAGATCACTAAAAATCGTTACCTTTTATATAGTTCTGATGTGGGTGATCATTCTTTTTCCATATCTACATAAATTTGCATCTCGATTTTCACTTTTTTATAATTCATTTACAAAACTATAAGCACGTTGTCAGAGTTCGGCTTTTTCGAACGATCTAAACTTTGTATAATAACTAACATAATCCGAATTTCATTCTTACAAACGATAGATTGTCCCTGTAGATCGTTTTCAAGAAGTTATGAGTAAAGTGATCATATCAAAACAGAATTTCATCAAGTTTCTACACAATTTTGAATCTCAATTTCACCTTTTTAACGACGCACTCACTTTTTTATGGCTGCTGACGCAGATTACTTTCCAAATTCTTGTGAGGGTGTTGATGAGTGTGGAGGCAGGTGAAGATATGGAGTTCCTCAAGAGAGAATTCATGGAAGTCATCAAAGGCTTAATTTGTCTACCAATCAAACTTCCAGGTTTCAGAATGTATAAATCTCTCCAGGTAATTAATTCATTCATTATAAATTCATTACCAAATCTCAGTGGATCAGTAACTCCAAAACATTTCAGGCTAAAGAAAGAATGTTAAAGATGGTGAGAAAGATTGTGAATGATAGGAAAATAGCAATGGAGAAAAAAGAAACAAAAGATTCAGGTTCACCAAATGACGCCATTGATGTGTTGTTAAGAGATACAGGTGAATCAGATGGGACCCAACAAAGGTTACCATTGGATTTCATCAGTGGGAACATTATTGAGATGATGATCCCTGGGGAAGACTCGGTGCCCATGATCATGACTCTAGCTGTCAAATACTTGAGTGATAATCCTTTGGCGCTTTCTTGTCTTATGGTGCGTATCAACTATGAAATGAATACATTTATGTTTTTCAACAACTTGTTTGAGACTTTGAGCTATGATTTGAATGAGTTTTATATGAATGGCAGGAGGAAAATGATGAACTAAAGAAGCGAAAGGATGAATCGGGCGAAGGGTATGCTTGGACCGATTATGTCTCGCTTCCGTTTACTCAAGGCGTAAGTTTCGTGTCTTTATATGGGGAGGGTATTTATGTCTTTTTGGATTGGACAAAATACTACAAATTTTGTTATTTTTGACATCGGTCATAGTATAATGCATGTCAAACACAGTACAACTTGTTTTGTCTTGTCTGTGTGAAAAACGAGGTGTAAAGAAATTGGTTTTATTATAGGTGATAAGTGAGACTCTTCGGATGGCGAATATCATCAATGCGATTTGGAGAAAAGCTCTTGAAGACGTAGAAATCAAAGGCTACTTGATCCCAAAAGGATGGTGTGTTTTGGCATCATTGACTTCCGTTCATATGGATGAAGAAAACTATGAAAACCCCGATGAATTTGATCCATGGAGATGGGAGGTAAATAAGTGATGCTTTATATGTTTACAATATCTATACCTTTTGTTAGGTCACGGGTTCAAGTCTCAGTAGCCACAATTTGGAAGTTTTAATTCCAGTGCGGATTGTACTCCTATTGAGACTTATGTCAGTCACCTAGTCGGTCACTGTCTACCTAATTTGGTGCAGAGTGGTGTAGGTCAGCTTAGGGGTTGTTAGAAAAATAACCCTTTGTAAAATAATTTTTATATGTTTACTGAATCTAAATTATATTGGTATCTATGTGTAGAAAACGGGAGCGAGTGTCAATAGCAACAAGTTTACACCGTTTGGTGGTGGACAACGGTTGTGTCCCGGTTTGGAGTTCTCAAGGCTAGAAATCAGTATTTTTCTTCATCATTTTGTCACGAGTTACACTTGGGTTGCGGAAGAAGATCAGATTGTATATTTTCCAACGGTTAAGACAAAAAGAAAATTACCTATCATGGTGACACCTAGATGAAACTAGTGACAAAAAGATGTTTGATTAATAATTAATCGTATGAGTCATGGTAAATTTATTACAATTTGTTTGGGCATAAGGTGTATATATTATGATGAAAAAACGTTTGGTGGTTTGTTTCCGGTTAACTTCAATTTTGGGTTTATACTGTTTTTCTTTTACATAAAATAAGTGTTCAATTTGACCCTTTTAATTTAGCTAATGCATTCTTGGACAGATTCATATATGGATAAATATTATATTGGTGATCCGTACAAGAAAAATCAAGGGTATTTCATTATATCTTTTAGCGAAGTTCTTTTTCTAGGTTATATAATGACCTAATTAAGTTATATGTAAATCAAGATTAATTTAATGTTTTATGCATATTTGATGGTGATATAATGTATTTATGATAAATAACAAAAATCAAAACACAAATTTTTTTAATATGTTTAGGGGTGTCATGGTTTGTGTGGGTGGGTGGATGGGTGTGGTGTGGGGGAGATATGATAATACATTTTTGTTTTGATTAATAATTGCTAAAATAAAAAGTTAGTAGAGGATATTTTTGTTTTTGTAATAGAACATAAGAAATGATAGCTAATATCTATCTTTAGCCAAATAATGACCAATACTTTCATATACAAAATCAAATTGAAAATTTCACCAAACACCTTTAACTTCAATAAGATCCATTCTAGTAAGAAAGCGTTTCATGTATTCCAAGACATCGCTGCTTTACCAGACATTTTTTTGCCCCTTGTTCTCGGTATTTAATTTGTTGTTGAATTGAGTCCACCGAGGGTCGTCTACACACATAACAACCCACTAAACTCAAGATTTTGGTTCTTATTATTCATACTTTCCACCCCTTTTTGTTATTATTACCATTTTTGAACTCTTCCTTCATTTTGACCCAAGGTACACCCGACGTACGCTGCAGCTAGCTTAAACCTCGTTCTAAGGTCTTAATCAGTTAAGACCCAACGTCCAATTTTAGATTTAGGTTTATTAAAGTGCATTAAGCCATAAAGTTGCCAACTTTATGTTTTTTGCATGTCTTAATGGGGAAAAACTTGGATTAAACCACATTATCTTCATCAAACCACCTTAAATCCTTGCATGTTTGGACTTAATCCATCAAGACTCCGTTTTTATGCTCAAGGGACGTTGGAAACACTAGGATCTAACATTATAAACTTGTGAAGAAATGTCTCAATGACCATTTTATGATTAAATTAGCCCTAAACTACAAACTAACACATGAAGTCATCAAGGTAGGAGCTTTTTATCTCCAATAAGCTAGAAATGATGAGAAACCTCAGGACCACAAGCTCTTTCTGGTCCAATGCTTATTACAAATCTTCTTCTTCTTCTACTCCAAGCACCACACACACCCAAAACACACACACACACATGCTCAAACTTTAGGGAAAATGGATTAAGGTTTCGAGATATGACTCAAGAGGCAAAAGGAGGCTGATAAGGTGATGAACTTGAAGGACTTAATGATCTTAAATAGGGTGTAAACCCTAAAAATTAGGGTTTACCTCTGGCTTGAGTACGCCATGCGTACGCCTAACGTACGTAGGGGTTATCCCAATTCGCACATGAAAAGGGGAGTACGCCCTTTTTACCTTGTGCACACCCAATGTACTTTCGCCTAGTCCAAGGTTTAAATGAAATAGTTGCAAGAGAGGTTTACCTGACGACTCGGGCTACACTTTGGCTCCTGCGATGGAGAGCTCAAGGTAATCAGTGACTACCTTTTATGGAGGTGGTCAAGGAGTTTCAACTACAAACCATCGAGGAGGGATACTGAAAAGTACTAATTAGATGAGCATTATTTGTTGTGATATTCAAGGCAAGTAAGAGTTGAGTGTCATGTTGATAGACAAGTCGTGATTCGACTAGTTGATGCATGATATGGGAGAGCTGGTAGATGTGTTACTTAGAGAGAGACCAATCATCAGGGGATGAAACGAGTAAAGCTCGTTAAAGTCCAAAGGAAGCACGAGTACAAGTCACAAGTGAGCTAGGTGGTAAAATGAAACATGAAGGCTCGTAACCCTAAATTGCTCGTAACCGTAACTGATTCTGAGGACATGATCATTTTAAGGAGGCGATAATTGTAACAACCCGAAAATCCTTCTGTTAACAAAGCGTACCTTGTGTTACTCAAGAATTAATTGTAACTAGGAGAAGCTCATGCTTCACATGAGATAAATGGGCTTTAGATGTTAATTGTATTACATTCAACATAGATAAAAGGTCAAAGTACATGTTAACTTGATCAGGCATACATTTAAAGGTAATAAAGTAGGGATTTTACAAGAAGAGCATGTATAAATATCCTAAGAAATAATGACGAAAGAGAGAAAATTAGTGGTACTAGAAAAAGTTTTGAATGCCGGTGGCAGAACCACAAAAAAGAAAAGTATAAGGACAATTTGGAAAAAGGCTAAAAAAAAGAATGACACAATCCAAAATAAAAAGTTTTCTGTTCCAACAAGCCATAGGATTTAACATATATACATAATAAAGCAATTTTGATTATACGAGTATTAAAAAGGAATAACTAAAAAAAAAGATATTAAATTAATATCTAATCTAAACGAAGTAATCAATAAATATGAGGGATATAATCCAATTAAATTGATTTATGGAATTTCATTAATCGGTGTAAATTGGTGTAAAATATCATAAAATGAAACTTAACTTGTCAATGTGTCTAGGGTTAGGTTGGACGGTGGTTTAAAGGCGAAACCTGAGGGAGTATCGGTGAAATTCGGCTATAACTTACAAGGCTTTGGATCGATTACTCTTAGTGTGTTTTTATCACGTACGAATTAAGGGGTTGCCCACCATCGACTCAGGCTATTACCGTTTCTTTGTGCATCGATCAGGGAGTAGAAGGGGTGTCGGGCAGCAGAAACGATCGCAAGGAGGGTGGGAAAGAACTCATCGGCAACGCAAGGCAGGAGGTTGTGACAATTGAAGGGATTTTCTGTGCAATTGAAGTGTTATGATTGATTCTTCTTCTTTGTAAGTCTAAGGTTTTCCCTCTTATGTCAATTCCTTTTCAATTGATGAAGAATTGATTGATTAGTTTGCCAATTTCTTCCTATTTGGTGTTTAATAATCATACATTCTTTCTTCTTATAATCATTGAATGTTCATAGGATTAAACTCTCTAATTGCTGTCAAAATCTTTTTGTGAACACCCTCAAGAGAATTATTGTTCATGTCTATGAAGTGCTCAAAACTATGGAATCAATGTCTTTCTTTTTGTTGCTAGAATTCATGTTCTTTCTATCTCAAATCCTAGTGATTTCATGTGTAGTGTGTTGATTCATAAAGACCATGTTTTGAGACATCCAGAAGTTTTTGAAAACAGTCCAAAAGATCTTAACATGAGGCTTGGTGGTGGAGGAAATTCAAGCCTTAATGATGTTTTCTCTTTTAACAATATACTTTGTTTTTCCCATAAAAACAATTTACTTTGAATCATGGCTTGGGGTTTAAATTGTTATTTTAACCTCTTGACATGTTGCTATTGTTAAAAAAACCAATTTCCATCTTTATGGTTGATTTTGGTTATGGCTTAATGAGTTAAGTTGTCAATTAACCTTAAAATGTAATGCTGCGAAATTCTGAAAAATTATCAATCTGTCCCTGTTTTGAAAAAAATCTAGAAAAATCACCAGGAGTCGGATTGGGGATCCGTAATCTCTGAAAGTTTGAATTTTGAGTCTAGTTTGTCCATGATTTTTCCCAAGACCTGATATTATCCCTAACCAAGGTGACTGGTCAGAAATTAGCTGCAGGCATATGCAGTTTTGTAAAATTCATAGAAAAATCAGTTGGATATGTGTGAGTTGTACTTTTAAAGCTAAACATATGAGGTACCTTAATATGGAATAAATTTGAAATTTTTACAGGTTTAAGTGGTGCTAAAGTGGCCTTGAACAGAGTCAAAATTTGAAAATTTGGCTTAATGACCAATTTGCATGTTTGGGTAGTAAAATGCTATCATGTAACCTTCTAGTAATATATTTATTTGCGTTTCACTAGGTAAGGGTTTGATACCTACAAGATTTGAAGAGTAGAGAGGACACGTTTTTGGCAAAGGTAATTTAATTTTCTGGTTTTTAAAGCACATTGTTAGGAGAATCCCATATCTTAGATGGAATGGGATGAACCTAGTTACTTAGGATGTATGTCCCCCATTTGGTGTTGCGTATTGTGCCATGGATCTTGTATTGCTTTATGTGTAAGTTAATCTAGGATATGTGCATGCTACTTTCTTATCTATTTGATGTCAGATGTGTGACAATACCATGTTAGATTGAGTGTTGTACATGGTCAAATGTGTACCAAAAAAAAGTTAACTAAACATAAACACAACGAAAAGGTAATTACCCTGACAAGTCATTTTCCTACATGCTATATATGACATATTTATTAGGTACATATTTGTTATATATATATACATATTCACATGAAAATATTGATTTCCATACATGTTAAAAATTTCATTAACATACCAAACTACTATATTAAATTATTACAAGTTCATTCCTTTTTGTATCAAAACATAGTGCCTACCCAGTTACAATTTTACTTCCAATATCCAATTTTGTTTGAGAATAATAGTTTCCCGGATTAGCCCCTACTAATTTTGTTTGAGAAGCTTGTCCCACTTTGTTCTTGTCCTGTTTGATGATTATGTTTTGTTTCTTTCGGTTCCATGTCCAGCTTAGAAAGTGCATGACTTGTTTGTTTCAAAAACATATCATTTGATCAATCAATATGTCCACCCTGATCTCTAGTTTGGTATATATGATAAGGTGAATTTTGATGTTTTGATTCCACTTTTATGTTTAATTTTGTATTTATTGTTAGAATTCTCAAATAAATGAAAATATGTTGCTATTAATATTGGTTATTGAGTTTGATGTTAATTCCAATATGTGTTGTGTTTCAGATGTTACAAGGGCAAAATAGTCATTTTTTCATAGTCAATCAGATGCAAAATCAAACAACAAGTTTCAGTCAAAACTTCTAACCTAGTATGTACTTTTTTTTTTTTTTTTTATTCTTTGTTGGTGTGTAATTGTTTCCGGTGTTTAGTTCAAGCTAGAGCTGCTATGATTATCGGAAATGGCTTTTGATCAAATTTATGGT